ATGGCTGGCTGGGGAATTCTGGGAGTTGAAGTCCACACATCTTAAAGTTGCCAAGGTTGATGAGAAACACTGGTTTAGAGCAAAAATGTTGGGTTGCGACCAGCATCAAAAAGGTGCAAGAGATTTGATCTGTACAGGAAGTCCTCATTTAGCGACCACAATTGGGACCAGCCACTTGGTTATTCAGCAAAGCACTCACTAAGTGAAACTGCAACTCTGCTTACAATCTTCCTTCAACTTTCCTTTGCTTTACAGACCTGCGAAGGTCATCAGTGCGAAGAGTGGTTGCAAAGTTCCTTTTTCATCACTGTCATAACTGCGAATGGTCACTAAACAAGGCAGTCGCTAAATGAGGATGACCTGTACAAGCTAAGCCCTACTTAGAATTTCCCTTTTTGCAGAAGTTTTGTAAATTATTGGCAGTTGCTTTTCCTGAAGGGAAAACTGTTGAAAACTGCTGGGCAGGATCACGGGGAACCTACAAAGGTTGACCCAATTGGCTATGTATTCTCAGCTGTCCTGAAGCCCGATCTAGAGGAACAAAGTAAAGTTAATTAAGTCTTTGCAATTATTCCAAAGAAAGTCATGGTCTGAGATTAAATCAGAGGAGCAAACGAGGGGCAACCAACCTGTATAGACAAATGAGGTGATCAGCAAAGCAATCAGATGGACCTTTAGCCTGGGATTCATTGACTCAAACTGGAGTAAAGTCAGATGCAGCAAGAAAGAGAAGAGGAACTCTAGGCCAAAAGCATTGACTACGGTGGTTTGAATTGGATTGCCGCAGGTCTCTGGCAGGGCTCTTGTATGTTCGGAGGTGATGCCCAACATCCAGATTAATTTCATGCAAATGTGAGCCAGGAGGGCTGCCGTGAACTGAGCCGAAGTTTGCAGACACCAGGTTTGGACTCCTAACCGGCCTTTGTAGAATTGTTGGAAACTGCTGGCAGGGTTGGCGATGCTGCCAGTTAGGGTCCAGCCGTGGAGGACTGTGAAAACGTAGGTCAGGAAGAGGGCTACCTGCGGTTTGGGCATCAAATTGCCTAGCAGGCAAAGTTCATGGGTGATGGCGCAGATCTGGAAGGTGCCGGTTAATTCCAGGAAGAAGGTGACATTCCACCGTGCAGACCGGTTGGCCACCTGTCTGCAGCTGGCCACAAGGGCTATGAGACTTGCCATCAGAAGCAGGGAGATCAGGGCTTCTCTGGTATCCATGGCTGAAAAGGAAGGGGAGGGCTGAGATCCTTGGAACAAGAGCCTGCCGAGGCTGGCTCACTCCTCCCTGCTCGGGGCTACCTCCCTGGGGATGATCAGCGGTTGCTGCCGGCTCCGCTTTCTCAGATCACCTCCGCCCCCCGCGCTGGCCCGCTCTCAGCCTGGCAGCGCCGGCCGAGCCCGCGCTCTCTCCGCCGCGGAGCTCCCGGACACGGGACGGAGTTCAGGCCGGG